CAGAGGAGGAGCGAGAACCACCACCGAGCCCCAAGTGCAGGGTCAGCCTCCTGGCCAGCCCCTGATGGGGACAGGTGGCCGCGGTTCTGGGGAGCGGCTCCTGAGTCACCCGCCTCAGCCCAGCAGCGCCTGAGCCTTTGTGCTCCGTGAGCGTCTGAGCATGTGTGGGTTTTGCTGAAGGCTTCATTTCAACTCCAGAAGTTCTCTGTCTTCCCCGTCACCTCCCACTGTTTTTCCAGACATTTTGAGAAGGCACATATAAAGTTCAGAGTCGAAAACTTGCTTTTCTCTTTTTAGACTTTTGAAGGGATCATGTGTCTGGCAGGTTTTGTGGGGTGGTTGTGTGTGTCTAGGGCTGGCCAAATAGTTTAATACCAAAACAAAACAAGTTCAGAAAGAACAACTCTTGTCGTTTATAAAATAGGAACGTTGCTTCAAGACGAGTTATGGTTCCATTTTCTTGCTATTTGCGTTTTGAAGGAAAGGGCGATCTGGGAAGCATCGATGTTACGTGGGTGAAGACTGCAGGACTGTTTTGTTTTCCTTGGTGTTCTGTTGGCTGAATTGCAGGTTCAAGACTCCTCACTTCTAAGTGAATAATTAAAAGCCGTGAGACACCCAGCACTTTGGGAGGCCAAGGCGGGCGGATCACGAGGTCAGGAGATCGAGACCATCCTGGCTAACACGGTGAAACCCCGTCTCTACTAAAAATACAAAAAAGTAGCCGGGCGAGGTGGCGGGCGCCTGTAGTCCCAGCTACTCGGGAGGATGGCATGAACCCAGCAAGCGGAGCTTGCAGTGAGCTGAGATCACGCCACTGCACTCCAGCCTGGGCGACAGAGCCAGACTCCATCTCAAAAAAAAAAAAAAAAAAGGCTGTGAGACAGTGCAGGCTCCATGCAGTTGTGAACCCTCAGGACGGGGTTCTGTCTGACTGGACCGCAGCCTGGGATGGGCCGGCGCTCAGGGAATGGCTCATGCCTGCGGGATCGGTGGGCACCTTCACAGAGCAGCTGGCCCCATCCTCCTGATCACAAAGGAGGTTGCCCTGGCACCATCAGGCCCTTCCGAACACACACAGCCTCTGGAGTCCAGAACCCAGTGGGACCCGCAGCCCCCACGTTGCGCATTCAGAACAAAACCTCCCGGAAGCAGCTGGGCCCTCGCGAGGTCCTGTCGGCGGCCGGGCAGCACACGCCCTGGCTTGCACCGTTTCTCACAGATGCTCACTAACCCCGAGAGCTGGTCTCCAGATCCACAGAAAACCCGCTTAAAAAATCAAAGCAAAACCACTTACCCCCTGAATGCCAGGGCTCAAGCTGGTACAAATCTTTTTCTGTGGTAGAATTTCAAGCCCTGCAGGTGTCTGTGGCAGGAGGCTCACAGAGCCCAGGGTCTCGGCTTCATCTGCAGATGGCTGCATTGAAGGGGTGGTTTGGAGCCTCATGCTGCCCGCTAGGCTGTGCCAGCTGTGCACTACCCTGCTCCCCACCCCCCCGGGAGCAGCCGTCCCCTCCCCCTGCCAGTGCGTCCCTCCCCAGGGCAGGTTTCAGCCACGTCTGCCCTGGAGATGAAGGTACCCCGTCCATGCAGTGCACCTGGCACCACCCATGTGCGCCCATGGGGAAGGATGACCACAGCCCCTCGGCCAGGGGGGTGTTAAGGGCGGTCTTGAGTTCCAGGCCCCATCACAGCCGAGGCAGCAGAGCCCATTTTGCCGCTGGAGAGAGCCCAGGCCCCCTGCAGGGATTGCCTGATGCTGCTGCACCCTGGACAGTTTCCATGGCCTCCTGAGGAACACGGGGGTGTAAACAGTGGCCTGCGTGGAGGCCTCGGGCTGTGGTGACTTTCCACCCCGTGCCCACCAGCCAGGTCCTGGGTAGATGAAGCCCTCCCTGACCCTCCACGAATGCCACTGTCAGCCAGCTCCGGAAAGAGCATGGCTGGTGGATTCTTCTCGGGCCTCAACTCACAGCCTCTGACCCGAGAGCTGAGGTGCTGGGGAGCACTGGACTCAAGGCCAGGACGGTGCAGTGGCCCAGCCTCAGGCAAGGGGGAGGACACTGAGGCCGCCCAGGAGCCGCCCCTCTGCCAGGGAAGGTGAGGAGGGCGGGCCTTCGTCCATCTCAGAGGCTTCAGGCCCTGACCCCTTAGGAGCCTCAGGCAGAGCTTCCTCCCTAGATGTCCTGGCTTCCACGGCCACGCCAGGGCTCGCTCAGCGGGTGCGTGTCCTCTAAGAGTAAAGAATATGCCCTTTGAGTTTCAGGGTTGCATTTGGGGGGAATCCAGCTGGGGCCTTCCATTGGTGTTGGCGCTTCCTCGGCCAAAGGCCTTTTCTGGGACTGAAGCAGCTCCACGGCAGCCACCAGCCTCTGCTTCCTGTGGCGGCCTCCACGGAGCGCGTCCCGTCTGACCTTCACACCCCCATGCCTTTGCCCCTAGGCCACCGTGAATGCCCGGCCGCAACGCGTCCTGGACACCTCCTCCCTCACACAGTCGGCCCCTGCCAGCCCCACCAACAAGGGTGTGCACATCCACCAGGCGGGGTAAGTGCCGCCCGCTCAGCCTGCAGGTCCACGGTGGTGACCAGGGCCCCACGGGCTGAGCTCTCCCTCAGTCAGGCTCCCCATCCTTCTCCTTCCCCGTCCTGTCTTGGCTTCATCTCCTCCCCCCTCTCTAATGGGCATTCTCTTTCCCTCTCCCTCCTGGACACCCCGGCACCCACCTCGTCTCCTCCCCGCTCTCTAACGGTAGCTCTCTTTCCCTCTCCCTCCTGGACACCCTGGTACCCTGCCTTGAACTCTCCCCTATCTTGAGAAACCCTTCATTTGCACATCGTCTCGGCAAAAGTTGAACTAAGCCTGGTCTCTGTGGCCTTTCAGAGTTCTTAAGAGGGGATCTAGATCTCCGAGTGGGTAACCAACAGGTGTTTGCACCTCAGGACGTGGCACTGCTGTGCGCTGAGCTCGCGCATCCCGGCCCACTCGGCTCTGAGCTGGTTTCGTGCTGTCCACACTGCCTTCCAGGGCGCTGGAGTTCGATGAGGGACACCCCTGCCCCCTGCCAGTCGGGCAACTGAGCAGCATGGACTCGGCACCAGCAGCTGGTGTGCCGGGCGACTGAGGACACCCTGGGCCCTGGTGGTATCTGGGAGGGTGCAGGTGGCCCAGGAAGTTGTTCCATGTTTCCCCTCGAAGCTCCAGACTCCGCAGAGAATGCAGTGTTTGTTTTTCTCCCAATGGCAGGGGCTCCCCTCCAGCGTCCAGCACCAGCAGCTCCAGCCTGACCAATGACGTGGCCAAGCAGCCGGTCAGCCGAGACCTGCCTTCTGGCCGGCCGGGCACCACAGGCCCCGCGGGGGCGCAGTACACCCCTCACTCCCACCAGTTCCCCCGGACACGGAAGATGTTCGACAAGGGCCCAGAGCAGGTACGGAGCCCCAGCTGCCTCGTGATCTGGACACTGAGAGTGTTGCTTCTCAGATGGGGGCTCATGGCCTCGGCCTCAGGCTGTTTACGTCGGGCGCTGCCCCTTGCTCATGCACCCCCTGCCTGCACTCTTTAGGAGTACTGCCAGGTTTGTCCTGGTTCTCCGCCCCTGGTTTTGGGTTCACCATTCTTGGCAGCTTCCATGTAACGAAACAGGAGCATGGAGTTACCCGGCTCTCCCCTTCCTGGGCGCACAGCACTCTGCATCCCCTCAGGGGCAGCTGCACTGCAGAGCGTTTGTTCTGAATGGGTTGTCTTTTCTGTGAACGTCCAAGTACGCTGCATAGATAGGTGCGCTCTCTTTGCCTTTAACTAAGTTGAAAAAGAAATTTCTGGAGAGAGGAACGTGTGCTTTGTTTCGCTGGGGTTGTGCGAGCGTTGTGAGGCGGCGGCTGGTCTGGAGACCTCGGCTGTCTCGTCCAGGCGTTGCCACTTTGTCACTTGAGGGCACCGGGGCTCAGGAAGGTGGTTCAGGGCGCACCCAGCACACCCAGCCGCTCTGGGTTCTGACAGCATGATCAGCTCAGCAACGGAGTGGGGTCCAGGGCTCGCTTGGTCATTCAGTGATTTTAAAAGAAGTTAGTGGCCGCCTTGCAGGTGCCTTGGAGCAGGAACGGCCGTGTTGGGGTAGAAGAGCTGTCACAGCAGGAGCCGGCAGGTCCCCACAGGTGCTGCTCAGCCCCAGCCCACCTGGACTTTCCGTGTCTTGGCAGAGGAGGAGCGAGAACCACCACCGAGCCCCAAGTGCAGGGTCAGCCTCCTGGCCAGCCCCTGATGGGGACAGGTGGCCGCGGTTCTGGGGAGCAGTGCCGCCGGCACGTGCAGCGTCCCCACCTGACCCCGCCCTGGGCCACGGCTCTCACTGCAGAGCCAGAGCAGCTGCCTAGGGTGGGGGGGATGCACCTCTCACTGCGCCTTCCCTGGGATCATGGGGAGCTCCCTGTGCCAAGACACAGCAGGAGAGATGCCAGCAGGCCCACCCCCACGCATATGGCATGGCACAGGAGACCCCTGGTGCCCAGCCTCACTGCACAAACACACACAGACTCTGACAGCCCTGGCCGCCGCAGGTTCCACAACAGGAAACACGCAAAGCTCAGTCCTCCTCAGCTCCACATCCTCTTTCTCCAGGGGCTGGGAGCCCAGCCAGCCTGCACAGCCGCGCGCTCCATCCAGGCCACTTCACACAGTCCCCGCTCTCAGCCTGCTGTCACGGGGCCATGAGGGGAGCCGTCCTGGGACCACACGGCGGAGGCTTTTTGGGGGTTGATAGACCAGCACACAGGGACGCACGTAGCACTGTCTGGACAGTCGGCTAGAATTGACTTGGGAGCTGTGCTGGGTCGGCCCTGGGGATGATGGGACAGACGTGGCTCACGCTTCACAGCCCGGGCCCCTCAATCCCTGGCCAGACATTTAGGGGTTCTCAGCCCGGGCCCCTCAATCCCAGGCCAGGTGTTCAGGGGTTCTCGGTCACCAGGATATGGAAGTGAGCAGAGCACAGAAGTGCCGTCCTCAGGGGCAGCCCGGAGCGCCCGGCAGTGCCTTTGTCCCCTGCTGGAGCTCTTTTGAGCTTAAGAGTGGCATGACTGACTGGTGTTTCTTTTTCCTTCCACCCCTCCTGCTTAAACCCTGAAGACTGCGGATGATGCAGACGATGCTGCTGGACACAAAAGCTTCATCTCCGCCACGGTGCAGACGGGGTTCTGTGACTGGAGTGCCCGCTATTTCGCCCAGCCCGTCATGAAGGTACGCCCGGAGCACGGGGTTGAGAGTAGAGTCCTAGCGAACGTGTGTCTGTCCCACGTCTTTGAGCATAAACACTCAGAGCTTGTGGCTGTGGGAGTGTCGCTGTTGTGGTAGTGGTTGTGGTACTGGTAGTGGTAGTGGTACTGGTTGTGGTAGTGGTAGTGGTAGTGGTTGTGGTAGTGGTAGTGGTTGTGGTAGTGGTAGTGGTTGTGGTTGTGGTAGTGGTAGTGGTAGTGGTATTGGTTGTGGTTGTGGTTGTGGTTGTGGTAGTGGTTGTGGTTGTGGTTGTGGTAGTGGTTGTGGTTGTGATAGTGGTAGTGGTTGTGGTAGTGGTTGTGGTAGTGGTAGTGGT